ATATTTTATAATAATGAATAAAAGCAAATTATATTTAATACATTATATGTTGATTATATTTAATAATAATAATAATAATTGGTCACACCTAAAATAATGAATAATAATGATAATAATAATGAATAAAAGTAAATTATATTTGGGGAAATAACTGCACTTCATTATCGTGAAGAAATAAATGATGTATAAATATTTCAAAATTTAAAAAATAATAAATATAAATAATGAATATTGATTATATGCAAATTATATATACAAATAATAAAAGTAACAGTAATAATATTAATAATATTTTTTTTTTACATTACAGTAATCAAAATGCTAATTTTTGTTTGGTGGGAATTGCGCTTGATTGTGCTGAACAATGTCAGAATTTTTTTTTTTTTAAAGTCACATTTTTTAGAAGTCAAATTAAAAATTTTTGTTTGGTGGGAATTGCGCTTGATTGTGCTGAACAATGTCCGAATTTTTTTTTTTTTAAAGTCACATTTTTTAGAAGTCAAATTAAAAATAAAAGAAAATAAAAATGTATAAATAAATCTCTTCTTGTCTGTGTTTTGGTAAAAAGAAAATGTTTGTTTTCTGCTGCTGGCCCACCTGAGGTGGTGAGTGGAGAGTTTCTCCACCAGGGCAGTGGCGAGTCGTTCCCCCAGCACCAGCAGGAAGGTCACCACGATGTCATGGTAACCCTGATAATAGTGCAGCTGTGGGTTTTTCACCAGCACCCGCAGGATAATATCTGTCAGCTCCTCCTGAAGGCCTTCCCGCTGCTCGTCTGGCATCCCTGCGTCCGTCAGACACCGCAAACAAACAGAGAGCAGCTTAGACCCAGACGGAGAGCAGCTGCAGGTCAGAGGAAGCAGCGGAGATGGTTCTGCTCAGTGCTCACCTGGAGGGAAGCGTCGGAGGGATCTCTGAACATCTAGAAGCACTTGGTTGAAGTCCTTGTTATGGTCTCGATCGACCGGCTCTGGAAATAAACACTAGATTTACATCTACAGTACATAGGTATGTTATTTTTCCCCCCTTTATCTGCATAAATTAAAGCGCATATTATAAATATGTAAGTAAAAGATGTAAAAAATTATATTTTAAAATGTAAATAATAAATAATTTAATTAAAGGATGTTTGATAAATTATATGTATATTATACATATTTATTTGGTATATTTATAACATTACAGTAATGGGAATGAGATTTTTGTTGAAGGTAATTGCAATTATGTATAAATATTTTACATTTTAAATAATAATATAATTAAATTATATTTAATAAATTATTTATAGATTAAATGGAATAATATTAGAATAATTATTTTTAATAATAATTATTATTATTATATTTTCCAAATTACAATAAAGAAAATACGATTTTCAGTTGAATTTATGTAATAAATTATATGGAGGTTATATTTAAAAACAAATTAAATAATATTTTTCACATTACAGTGATGAAAATGCATTTTTGTTCAAAGTAATTGATTATCGTCAAGTTAAAAGATATAAATATATAAATATTAAATAACAAAATGAAATTCTATTAATAAATAATTTGTATTTATTTAATAATAATAATAATAATAACACTAATAATAATAATACATTTTTCACATTTCAGTGATAAGAACTAGTTTTTGCGTGAGGCAACTGCACTTGGTTATCGCAAACAAATAAAAGCTGTATAAATATTTAAAGAATTATTAAAATAATATACTTCAATTATAATTAATTGTAAGTAGATTATATTTAATAATTAAATAGGAATATTTTTTCACACTATAGTGATGAAAATGAGATATTTTTTGTTTGAGGTAACTGCACTTGATTATCTTGAACATAAATAAAAGATGTATAAATATTTGAAAAATTAATAAAATAATATAATTAAGTTATAATGAATAAATTATAAGTAGATTGCATTTAATAATTAAATACGAATATTTTCCCACATTATAGAGATGATTTTTTGTTGAAGTTGTGATTGATTACCTTGATTACATGAATAAAAGATGTTAATATTGAAAATATGATTGATGATATAAAACGACTACATTTAATAATAATTAAATAATAATAATACTTTTTTCACATTACAGTGATGAGAATGAGACTTTTTGCTGTAGGAAACTGCATTAAATTATATATATATTTTAATGTGTTTATTTTCCAGAAAGTGAGCTTGCTTTGATTTCGATCGCTCTCACCTAGTTGCTCAGGTATGTTTTCCACAGACACGTTGAGCAGTCTGGGCCACACCTGGCGACGGATCTCGTCGTTCAGCAGACCTCCTTCACTGATGGCCATGCGTCTCAGAGCGGCCACATCCACGGGCGTCGAGTTCAGCGCCTGCGAGATCTCCACCATCTTCCTCCTCCGTCTGGACTCAGCATCTGTCAACATGACGAGCGCGCTCAGCACCTGAACCCTGCACTAACACGGGCTACATGCGCTTCAGCAGAAACGGTCACTGGAAAGGGAGAAGTTGACTAAGATCTTTCACCTTTCCCCTTCATTTGCGCAAGTGTTTCTTTTAAAACAGCTGTTCCCAGAGGAATGGTTTAAAAGGCTTGATATTGTTTTGAAACGGAACAATTTTTGTCTGGCACACAAACATCATACAGTCACGTCCCAAACAGCCGACGCAGTTCGTGTTAGTACTGTAACAGATTTACAGTCCATAATGAGTGCACAGATATCTTATGCACAATAAATCCTTCAAAAATGTTATGAAGAGTGCTTAAGATATGAAATAACGAGCAGCACACCTTTAGACGCAAAATATTCACAGGACACTCCCACAGAAATAATTAAAAGGATTATGAGGCAGAAATTAATTCTTCTCACACCCGGAGAAAAAAGTATATATACACATACATATTTATATATAATTTATATTAATGTAATTACTTTTTTTTTTTTACATTAATGTATCTATCCATACAGAAAGAAATTGATTTATATACATTCATTCATTTCTAAAATCCCCAAAATGTCTGTATAACTAAATTTTATATAATGTATATATAAATCAATACATAGAATGTATATATAAATCTATTTGAATATATAGACATAAGTTACACACACAATATATATATATATATATATATAGCTCGATAGATACATCTAAAAATATTTTCAGTATATATA